CAATATTTTTACCCATTTAAGTGAGTTCTATAGTAATTAAATAACTTTTTGCTAAAATAAAATGTCACAAAATAGGATTGGGTCAGACTGCTTAATAACCTGGGAGAAAATAGTTTATTGAGGCATTATTCACCATGAGTCCAAGCTGCATAACAAGACCCTGTACCAAATAAATAATTAAATAATAATAATAAAGAACATATATTTGATTTTTCAAAATTCAATATTTTTACCCATTTAAGTGAGTTCTATAGTAATTAAATAACTTTTTGCTAAAATAAAATGTCACAAAATAGGATTGGGTCAGACTGCTTAAAAACCCATGCAACTTTGTGACGACAGCACTAACAACCCAGAGCCACAATCCTGCAGTTTAAAAACAAAAGCAAAACTGTTAATTTTAACAGAAGACATCCCAGCGCACATACTTTTTTCTAAAGCATAGATGTGGCATGACTGAAGGAGTTGTAAGGAAGGACTGAGGCCCAGGCTGACGTGTTATAGAGGAAATAAAGCACACAAGAGCTGAGGAGATGGGTGGCCAAGCTGGGCCAGAAGGCGAGCGGAACGGGATGACCTCATGTAGTAGGACACCATTTCTTATTGTTGTCCACATTCAGACAAGTCACGTGTGTCATGTTCAGCTGCTATGATGTAGTGGTATTAAATATTAATGATTCAGATAACATTGTATAATAATCAGTGAGATGTTTCCGTCATTGCTTTACTTCATTAGGAACTAATTAACATTCAGGCCTACAGCAGTACAGGCTGGATCTTCAAAATAGAGATTGTCATTTATATTTTTACTTTAGTGCCTTAAAATTATTCTAAGATTAGCAGAGATTATTTTGTCTTTCATTTTATTTCAAATCTCACAAAGTACAGGCGGAAATAGGAATACTAAAGAGATATTTGATGGCATTAAGAAATTGGCATTGGAGGATGGGGAGATGGTTCAGTGGAAAAAGCGCTTCCCTGGCAAGTGCTAGGGCCTGAGTTCAATCCCCGGTTCCGCAAAAAAAAAAAAAAAAAAAAAAAAAAGAAAGAAAGAAATTGGATTTTAGGGATGTGATAACGAGATTGTGGACTCGCTTCCTTGAGACACATATACTGAAATATTTACAGAGGACATAATGTGGCGCTGGGTTTACCTTAAAATAATCTAGGAAATGTAAGGAGAGGGAGGCATGGAGGAAATAAAATTGGCCATGAGTTGGTAATCGTAAAGCTGGGTAAAGGGTGTGCTGCATGCCATCCTCCGTAATTGTATAGCTTTGAAGCTTTTTATCACAAAAATTCTTCTAATTCACGAATAATCATTTGCAAAACTATTCATGACCATTATTTGAATATTTGAGGCAAAGTTTTGTCTCTCGGGTATCCCCCACTTACCTTTTTCACATGCATCAGATCTTCTCGGATGAGCCCACCTAAAGGACCATCACTCTGTCCCTGCTGTGCTCGCTCTCTCATTACTTTCCTTCATGCCTCATACTGTGTATCACTTGCTGACATTTTTTCAAAAATTTTAATCTTTCATTTATTTATTTATTTGGTACAGGGTCTTGCTACACAGCTCATACTCGTAGTGAGTGGTCCTCCTGTTTGGGCCTCCCTAGTGCTGGGATTACAGGTGTGTGCCACCATGCTTGGTTTCAGGGGCCAGCACAGTGCACACTTAGGATTCTGGGGTCAGCACAGCATGCAGTACCAGGGATAGAACCTAGGTCCTTGAGCTGACCAGGCTGGTGCTTAGACCACAAAGCTATCTCCCTGGCCCGCTTCCTGACATTTGATCACTTGTTTATATCTCCTTGACTGGAATATAGGCTCCAAGAAGATAGCAATCTTGTCTGTACTGTTCACTGTTGCATTTCATTGGCTAGAACAGTGGCTGGTTCATGGTATAGTCTCCAATATCAATTCATTGAGAAACAATGGCCTAAAATAGAACTTTCAGGAACAATGAACAATACAGGGAAGAAAGAGGAAGCTCAGTATAGGATATTTTGTCTATCCATAAAAGTAACAAAAATACAAGAATTTTAATACCCTGGTGTGTGTGTTCATATTGTCTCCTCTTGTAGGTATATGTGTTGCTGATGGGCTAAAGTTGCAGGTAGACAAAGACCACTTCTCTGGCATAAAAAACAATAATACAAGACTCAATTAAAAGGAACAGTTTCTAACATCAAAACTACAGGAATCTAAGTAAGTAGTTAAGTGCATGACTCTAGATTCAATGGCTGAGAAATTTGAGGGTGAAAATCACTGTCTAAGCATGTGGTATCTAAGTGCAAGGGATCTGAGCATGTGCGGTGAGAGTGTGAGGCTCAGGGAGATCGTAAAGACCTTTCAGATTACCATGTGTAAGGAAGAAGCTGAATGAAAATGTACACAGGAATAAATCACATTTTGTTGGGAATGATGGGAGAGAAGAGGAGGTTTCCCTAGGTAAATCTGTAGAAAGAGGAAGCAGGTCAGGGGTTGGGAGGTGTTAGGGAAGGGGAGGACTAGTGTGCAATTGCTTAGTGGAATAGGAAGTGAGCCACGTTGCTGAAGCTCCAAGAGCTACACAGTGGTTCCCGAATACAAATGTAATCCTCAAACATTATCAATGCTTGGCATAGATGGATAGATGATAGATTATCATCTATAGATAATGATAGACAATAGATAGATACATGATAGATAGATAGATACATAGATAGACAGACAGACAGACAGACAGACAGATATTCTTCTTGCCCCAACTGAGTAAAATTTTGTACTTATCAGTGTGCCTGACCAAACTTGGAGTGCCAACCTGCCCCCTGCTGGCTGGCTTTTGGTACCCACATTTTTTGCCTGGTGACCTTGTCACCCATACCACCAACAGGCAGAGAAAATGTGCTTTACATGTCAGTGCAAAATTGACCTTTTTTGTTTGCTTGTTTTGGCAAAACTTTTTATTTTTAAATAGGCTCTAAATTGCCCAGGTAAGACTCAGACTTGCAGTGCGCTTTCCTTGGCCTCCTACGGGCTTGGATTCTCAGTATGAGCCACCACACCAACTAAAATTTAAAACTATATCTAATATCTTAAAAATGAGGGCTGGCAAGACAGTTTAGCAGACTAAGGGCTGCTTTGGCAAGAGCACGGACCAGGGTTCGATCCCTGGTCCCTCATGCTGTGTCGGCCCTGCTCCCGGGGCGCGCTGAGAGATGAAGTCTGGGTGTGGTGGCGCATGCATGTAGTCCCCGAGCTAGGAAAAAGATCTTAAAATATTTTAATATATTTATGAGATAAATTCTACCTTCTAATAAAAGAGAGTACTCTATATTCAGTCTCATGAAAAAACTTTAATAGTTCTGCTAAAGTTTAATATCATATTTCTAAGCAGCCGATAAGCAATATTTGTGAATATCAAATGTAAAAGGAAAAAAGAGAAGAGACTGATAACAAATACAGCATCCATTTTTTTTTTCCTTCTTATTATCTCAACCAGAGCTGGAGAGATAGTTCAGCAGTCTAAGCTCCTGCCTGGCAAGCACAAGGACCCGAGTTCGGTCCCCAGTACCACATGGCGTGCAGGCCCTGGAACCCCAGGCGTGCTGTGCTGCCTACTTAAATCTGGTGTGGTGGCATATACCTGTAATCCCAGCACTGGGGAGGCTGAGACAGGAGGATCACTATGAGTCCGAGCTGTGTAGCAATACCCTATACCAAACAAATAAATAAATAAAATTTAAAAATTAAAAAAAATGTTGCCCAGTGTTCCCTGAATTTAGACAGAGCGAAGACCCCAGATCCATAAGTAAGTCTGAATTGCACAACTCTTCCAGGAATGCTACCCGATGAGCGTTGATTCAATAGACAACAGGTTCAATAGGCTTCTCTTTTCTGCATTCTTCTTTCAGCCCTTGATTCAGAAATGCTGGTGTGTGCTTCAGGAACTTTCTCGACTTCTAGGTACCAGGATGTGGAATAAAAAAATTCGTCTCTGCCCTATGACGTGGAGAAGACATGTTCTGGCCCTTGAGTGCTTGCCACTGTATTTCTTTTATGTAAGAGGAAAATAAATGCTTATTTCAATCTGAGCAACAGCTATTTTGATTGTTTTTTATATACAGTAGGATCTAATTCTAATCAACATAAACTCATATTTAATACTGTTTTTGCTTCTAACAAGTAAAAGGTGTCAGCAGGAATGTATCGGCTGCAGGAATTTATTTGGTTTGCTACTTTTCATCTCCAGGTTTCTGTCACCTTTTCACCTCTTACCTCTTTTCTGTTTTATTCACATGCTTTCTCAACTACCTTGTTTTGTACTTTTTTAATTGCACAAGCAATATAGCAACCTATGATGAGAAACTATTCAGACAACATTTCTGTAGAGGGACTCTACATATTTTCCTTCACACCAGCATGCTTTCCCCCATCCAGGCAAGCAGGCCAGTCTGAAGAATGCCAAGCACAGAAAGCCAGGCCCCAGAGAGCCAGTTTACCCAGTAACCTACTGCTGAATATCCACCTTGCTAACTCTGTCAAATGATGGACTGGAATGGCAAACCAGTTTATCAAGAATCTTTTTTAAGGGCGGGCCTGATAGCTCAGTGGACTAAAGCATCTGCTTAGGGAGGCACAGTGACCAGGGTTCAATCCCCAGAATGCCCTGCTGGCCCCGCCCCCAGGGCTCAGTGTGACAGTGACTGAGATTGGGTGTAGTAGGGTGTGCCTGTAATCCCAGCACTTGGGATGCTGGAAACAGGACGAGCACTATGAGTCAGATCTGTGTAGTGAGATGCTGTAGACTCTGTACTAAATACATACAAAAAGAATCTTTTTTATGTCTTTGTTGGGAATGTTCATATGGCAATTTTAAAATTTATATTGATTTATACTGGAATTCTGTTTTTCCAATTCTGATTTCTTCTGAATACTTTCAAATTTGAAAAAAAATGAAGAATTGATTAGAGGATACAATTCCTCAAAAAATTGCTAACATTTGAAATATAAATACCATTGAAAATCTCAGATCTCACCCTATATGACAAGCTACAGCAACAATTCCATTGCACATGAAATGTTAAAACTATGGTGCTAGTAGGAAGCAAGCAGGGTGCATCCCCTCACTAGCAATCTCGACATGAAAGGGAAAATATCAAAGAAGTAAAACTAGGAAGCAACAGAACCAGTTTATGCTTGTGTGGACATCTAACAAATATTATTCGAAGCTTGCAAAACTCTTTTAGGTGGACTGAGTGGATAGTTATCTGTTCTTTTATAAATGAGAAAAGTGAACCATGATTAAGACTTGGAAACATAGCTCAAGTCTAAGCTATAGTCAATCATGTATTATAGAGAAAAGTAATGGAAATGAGAAATGGACCACAAAAGGAAAAACCGTGTTGCCAGGGCTCAGCGTCGACCAGATTGGTGAGCAACAGCAATGCAATTCTTACATGCATAAATTGGCTAAAGATGTACCAAATACATTACATTTCCCAAGTTGTCCAGAATAATCACTAATTTAATTAATTAATTAATTATTCTTTTTATGTATTTGGTACAGAATCTCACTATGCAGCTTGGACTCATAGTGATCCTCCTGTTTTCAGCCTCCCAAGCGCTGGGATTACAGGCATGTGCCACCATACCCGGTCTCAGTGGCCATCTTATTGTGCCCCCTGGTGGGGGGGGAGGGCCAGTGCACCCTGTGGTGCTGGGGATTGAACCCCAGTCCCTGCGCTTGCGCAAGCAGGTGCTTAGTCCACTGAGCTATCTCGCTGGCCCTTAATTTTAAAAGTTAAATTTGGAAGCCATCCTACATACTTGCCTTTTCATATTTTTCAATAGAATAAGTCACTGGCTTTTATTCTACTAAATGAGGACCATTGCATCTTATTTCAAAATCTGAAACGGCAAACTTTATGGAAAAGCATTTTATCCTTTTAGGATATTGCAACTAAAGATTGCTCAAAAAAAAAAAAAATCCAGCTACTTAGGAGACAGAGACAGGAAGATCACACGTTTAAGGTCAACTGAGGCAACTGAGTGTAATCACGTCTCAAAATAAATAAAAAGGAGCGGCCAGATAGCTCAGCTGACTAAAGCTCCTGCTTAACAGAACACAGGGACTGGGGTTCGATCCTTGGCTTACTATTGCGGCCCCACCCCCGGTGTGAGCTGAGATGGGGTGAATGAGACTGGTCATGGCGATGCGCACCTATAATCCTAGCTTTTGGGATGCTGAGAACAACAGGAGGATCACTATGAGTCCAATCTATGTAGTGAGACCCTGTAGACCCTTACTAAATACAAAAAAATAAATAAATAATAAAAAGACTTAGGAGTGGAGCTCAGTAACCGTGCATTTTCATGGTATGTGTAAGGACCTCGATTTGATACTCTGACCACAAAACAAATAGATACTTTTAACTTTTTTAATGTATTTAGTACAGGTTGACAGGGTTTCACTGCGTAGATCGGACTTGTAGTACTCTTCGTGTTTTCAGTCCCCCAAGCACTGGATTACAGGCACACACCACCACACCCAGTCTCAATCACTGGCTCAGCGCGCCCCAGGGGCGGGGCCAGCTCTGCACTCGATGGAACCCCTGGACCTGCGTCTGCCTAAGCAGGCGCTTTAGTGCGCTACGCTATCTGGCTGCCCCTATACGTTTTAACAGTTGTGAATTGTTACCAAAGTATAAAAATAGGAGGGTTTCTTAAAATGCAAATCTAATCTAATGATAAAATTTTCAGAGTTGCCCCATATATTCTTAATGGCCACTTTACAACAACAACAAAAAAATTACAAGATGCAAGAAAGCAGAGAAGTATGGCCCATACAAAAGGAACAGAGGAATCAAACAATGCCTGGGGGTGCCTAGGCACTGGACTTTCTAGAAACAAACTATATTAGACATAGCAAATATGATTAAAGAACTAAAGAAAATATATGAATGATGTCTGCAATCCCAGAACTGTGGGTGTCTGAGGCAGGAGGATCACAAGTTCTAGCTCAGCCTGGGCAATTTAGCAAATGTCTCAAAATGAAAATGAAAAAAAATAAATAAAAAGGCTGGGAATGTAGCTCACTATGCAGGACTCTGCTTCAAACACCTGCATCAAACAAAAATAAATAAAGGAATACTATCTTACAAAAAATATATATATCAACCGAGATGAAAATTGTAAGCAAGAACCAAATAGAAATTCTGGAGTTGAAAATTAGGATTGCTGAAGTGAAAAATTCACCAGACGTTCTCAACAGTTGATCCGAGAAGGCAAAAGAAAGAATCAGCAAACGTCAGGACCTGTCAACTGCAATGAGCTGATTTGAGAAGCAACAGGGAAAGGAAGCAAAAATAAAGCCTCCGCGTGCCATTTTGAATGCCACCAAATGTGCCAGCAGATGGCAAAGGAGAGCTCTGGCACATCATCAAATATACCAACACGTGTATAAAGGGAGTTCCAGAAGGAGAGGAAGAAAGGAGCGGAAAGCTTTTGAAGAAATAATGATCACAAAATTCCAAAGGTGATGAAACTTCATCTACTCATCTAAAAAATTCAATAAAGTTTAAATTAGTAGTGTACCTGGTGGTGGTGGTGGTGGTGGTGGTGGTGGTGTGTGTGTGTGTGTGTGTGTGTGTGTGTTTGCCTCAGACAGCACATTATTGACCAAAAGGAAATTTATAGGATAGCAATTTACAGTTGCCTTGAACTACGTTTGATGCTAAGCTGAAGTTTCCAGGGTGGATCTACACATCGCAGCGCTTCTAGCCTCATGACTGCTTACACAAGAGTTGTGTTTAGTAGTTGCCACAAGTGCCTCACATTGCATTGAAGGACTGCCCTGAGCTGCTCCAACTGTAGTTGTGCTGCTGCTCAGTGTGTGATAAACTCAAAGAGGCAACACATAGCTGCGTCACAGTGGTATTGCCAAGTGCCAAAGACAAAGAGAAAAATCTTGAAAATAGCAGCAGAAAAGTAGCATCCCATGCTATAAAGGATCAGCAGAGGGAGAGACAGAGAGAGAGAGAGAGAGAGAGAGAGAGAGAGAGA